CCGCACCACACGCTCAGCTTAGATTCAAGTTAGGTGCACAGTCTTGTCGTACAGACCACTATAGGTGGTTCCGACTCGTAGGTGACCCGCGATTACTCGCACAGCCTTCACGTGATCGTAGCACTAGACCGTTATATGTATTACACGCAGGCCTGTCGTACAGACCACTATAGGTGGTTCTGACTCGTGGGCAGGTTTAGTGTTGAGTATTGAGATTTGAGCTCTAGATGCAATCGTACAGGTCACGTTAGGTGACTCCGGCTGCCAAATTGTATATTATTGATGTGATTTATACCTGAGCACTTGCATTTCATCGTGAGATTTGGTATGGCATACTATGGAGCATTGATGCGAGAATTATACGCACACAAATTAAACCCTCTTTTTATCAATTGTAGTATAAGTATAAGTAGGGATCGTTCTTAACCGGGGATTAGGAGGGATTGCAAAATCACTTGGAAACTGACTCAAAAACGTAAAATAAAGTTTAAAACACTAAACTAGACTCAAAGAATGCAAAACTAAACATTTAAAACACTAAAACAAACCAAAGGACTCACACAGCACCCAAAACACTCAAAACTGCCTTAAAAACACTTTCTGGGCAGTTTTGAGCACTTTGACTACTTTGGACGAAATTGGGTAATAAAATGAATCAAAACAATTAGAAACACAAACTAAGACACTTTCTAACTAAGTTGGACACTAAAGAATGCAAAACTAAACACTTAAAACACTAAAACAAACCAAAAGACTCAAACAGCACCCAAAACACTCAAAACTGCCTTAAAAACACTTTCTGGGCAGTTTTGAGCACTTTGACTACTTTGGACGAAATTGGGTAATAAAATGAATCAAAACACTTAGAAACACAAACTAAGACACTTTCTAACTAAGTTGGACACTAAAGCAAAGGGGGATTGAGTTTTTGACGAATTTGAAAACAAAACTTAAAACTTTGTAAAACGAATTTGGATTTAATGAATGGAATGGAAGCTAGCTAAGGGGTTCATCTCCACACATGTTACACTTGCATAATAAAACGATTTCCAATTGCTTTTCAATAAACCATGATGCTCAACACCCCAAGTTAACCGTGATGCACTAATTAACTCTCAAATTTTCCTTATGTTATTGAATTGGATGATGCATGCGACAATTCAAATCATTCTCCAATGGTTCTCAACATGAATGCATAGAAGAGATACAATGAGAGATCATTATGCTGTATGACAATTATAAGTGTTGACGAGGCAATTGTAACTATGAATGCATGATACTCTTGCCAAGAATTCATTTAACGCGATTGTTTATAAGCAACCTCCACTACTTGTGAATATAAGTTCATAACTATTAGGTGAAACTCACTTATATTCTAGCGTCATATTCATGCATGAAAATTAAGCGTGCACTCTCAATAAACATACATAAATAAGTTATCAATCAAACAGTTAAACAAATTGAATTCATAACTTATGAAACGTAATTAGAAGTAATCAAATCATATTGCAAGCATAAACATATATTTCGAATCCCCCCCTAGCCAAGGGGGGGTTTAGTTCCTCATACGTACAAAACAAAGAGAATTGAAATTAAACATTGGAATCGAGGAAAAGAAACACCTAAACATTCCAACAACTCAAACTTGAATTGTATGAACGTTTAGGCACTCTTCTCCTCCTCTTCGTTGTAGCACAAGGTCTAAGGTGAGTTTTGGTGTGTTGAATGGATTGGGGAATTATGGAAATGGATGAGGGAGGCCACTGCAATGGGATGATTTCTGGTGGTGTTTGGATTGGTAGGGAGGGCAAGGCAAGGGTGGTTTGATGGTCTGCATTCTGAATATGGAAGAGTGAATTGTGTATGAATGGGAAAATGAATCAATTGTGGCTGCAATGGATGCTTATTTATAGGTGAAAATGAGGGAATATGACAGCTAGGAACTTGGTGGAAATCTGGAATGGTGATGGGAGATGCATGTGGCTGATTTATGCATGTGATTAAAGGGTAATGACAACTAGGTTATGATGATGAATGCATGTGCAAAGTTGGTTGAATGATTATGGGTGCATGTGGCTGATTTATATGAAGGGAATGCATGATTGTTTACATGTGAATTAAAGCTATATGTGGCTGCAATGATGAAATGGATGGGAGTGCAGGTGCTTTGACAGCTAGGTTGAATAAATTAAAGGGAGTGCATGTGGCTTGGCTGGAATGATTGGAATGCAATCTGAAATGGAATGTGTTGGTGTGAATTTCTGGTACAAAGGGCCTCCTTTGGTCTTCAATTTCGTCCATCTACTTGGCTTCAAGTATATGCAATCCATTTAACGCCCCAAACTACTCCAAAATGCACCCTTTTGCATACTTTGCCCTTAGAACCTGAAAACACACAAAAGAAGCATAAAGGACTAAAATAACTAAAGAAACATAACGTAAATGCACGAGAACAAGCCATTTAAGTCGCATGAATATGCTCCTATCAAGCATGATTTGGCATATCTATATATACGTACATATGTTTATTTTCTGGGAAGTATACAGGGGTTAGAATCTTGCTTTTGAAATGGTTTTTGAAAAGCTTTGTTTTTGCCCACTCACGCTTTTATTTTGCGCCCCTCCAGGTTTTAGCTAGCTAGCAAGGTTGGTGGTCCCAGAGGGCTTTCCCGGCGTTTCTGACAGACGATCACCAGCGTAGGTTCACCTTCGGGTGCACTGTTGTAACGCTATTTTATTTAGACTGCTTAGGCGTTATGCTCTGAACTTGTATCGTTTCACACTAGCACTTATTACTTTGACTTTTGTATGCTAGTTTTTAATTATTCGTACTTTTATATTACTGTCTTACTAGCTTCCGCACTATGCACATGGCTACGTCACTTCCGCGTGACGGCCAGCACGCTCTGATCTCGGTCGGGGTGTGTCATGTGGAATGATGATGGGAGAGCATGTGAGTGAATTATGAAGAGTGAATGCATGTAGGGTGCTGCTATGGTGGGAAATATTGGGCAGAAAATATCCTAAGGCTTTATTACTTAGTTTAGGAAAGGATGTAACTCCAAATCCTCCTTTAGGTCTTCAATTTCGTCCATTCCTTTTGCTCCAAGCATATGCTATCCATTCCAAGCCCAATTTTGCTCCAAAATGCTCCAAAATGCATCCTTTTGCATACTTTGCCCTTAAATCCTGAAAATACATAAAACTAGCTTAAAAGACTACTTTACTAAGGAAAAACACTTTAAATGCACAAGACAAGCTAAACTAAGGTGCATAAATATGCTCCTATCAATGGGCATGAATAGTATGATTGATTAGAATTGATGAATGGTTGTGGTATGACTATATTGATGTTATTTGCTCATCATTGCTGCACCCAGTGTTAGTGCTCGCCCAGGGCCAGGGTCAGTCTTTCATGTGTATGTTCACATCTGCATCGCATACTTGCCTTGGATCCAAGTAGGTGCCAGTCATATCGTATAGGTTGCAATAGGTTACTTCGTCTCGTATGTGACCGTGAATATCGCCAGTCTTCATGTGATTGTAGAACTAGAGCGTATTTTATGATTACACACAATCATGTAATATAGGTTGCATTAGGCAACTCTAACTTGTGTGTTAGCATGGATTGATGAGCATTAGTCCAGTTGTATAGGTTGCATTAGGCTACTTCGACTAGTGTGCTAGCATAGATCGATGAGCACCTGATTTTATTATGCTACTGTTGTGATATTGTGATTTGGCGTATTTTTGGATTTATTGTTGTTTTACATTTGATTTCATACTTATACGTAGTATGATTTTCTAGAAACTATACTTGTTTTACGGTGATGGATTACAATGTTTTCAGAAAGTTTTTTATAAAACTTTATTTTCAAACCCCCTCACCCTTGTTTTTCGCCCCTCCAGGTTTTATTGCTGAGCTTACATGTCAACAAGGATTCTTGACAAATCTTAGTGTAGACAATTACCTTCGAGGGTATAATTCTCACTTGATTTTACTGTAAGGTACTTATACTCTTACATCACGTGTGAAATGGATTCATTCCTGCTCACAACGCATTCTTATATTTAGACACTTTGAGGTTTAAATTTATTCACATTTTCCACATCACTACACTTTATGGCTTCGTCACCTTTTAGGTGTCGGCCAACACAGCTCGATTCGAAGTCCTAATTGACATTTCGGATCGGGGTGTGTCAGTTCTCTTTTTTGAAAAAAAAGAAAGAAAAAAAAATCATCCATATTTTAGTGCTGTATTGATTTAATTTGATTCTGTGGTTTGTTTATGAAACCGGACCTCACTATCTCTTGTCAAATATAATGGTAAATTATATATGTACTATTCATGCAAGACTCTAAATTATTGCAAAAGAAATGTGCCACCATCGGTCATCTTTCCACGTCCATCAATGACTAAAGATATTTCATGTGCCTGTTTAACGATCATATGTTCTTATAAAAAGTAGTTGAGGTTTGCAGATCTTTTTTCTTTATGTATATACTTATGTTTATTTTTATACCTAAATTGTTTGTAATTTATTCAATTAAATAATCATAAATAAATATAAGTGTCCAGAAGGGAAAAAAAAAAAAGCGCAAAAATTATTTCTCTACAAGTCTTTTGTAAATTGTAAACAAATTTGGGTTGGCGTAGTTTTGTTTATTATATTTGAGACACAAAGTTGTATTAAGATTTGAGCAGCAGTTGAGGTCCCTCTCCCATTTCTTAAGTTAAGGATTAATCTGTGGGATGTGGACTAATTAGTAAGTATCGAAGAATCCAATTTGGAGTGGGACAAAATGGACCACCAAACGCTGTCCGTTGGAGGTTCTTTTTCCTCTCGAAGTATATATTCTCAAGTATGCATCGTCTCGATTCGATCGATTCCTTGAGTTCATCCAACTCGGTCAATGGCAGATTATAATGCATTAGCAAAACAAAATCTAAACCGATTTTGTACACTGAATGATTTGAAGGAAAATCCACAACCAGATATCAAAATATAGATCTGATTCCATATATTGCATTATTTTGTAAGATATGTCTTTTTGCTGGCTTTCCAGCTTATAACTTATACATCGCAGAAAGCAAAACTTATCATGCAAAGTAAAAATCGCGACTCAGGGGCACTTGCATGTAATCTCCAAAAAATAACTAAAAGATTTACTCCTGAGGTGGCATCGCTCAAACGTAGTAGCCGGTAAATGTAAATCCCCTTCCTGTGATCTCTCCACCGCAGAACCAGGCGAAGCATTCAACGTCAGCATTCTCCACATTCAGCTCCTCCTTGCTTTTTATTGCATTCTTGAAATGGCCAACTTCCTTCCCGAATGCTTCGTAACAAACTGGAATGCGGCAGAGAAAAAATTACGAGGAGCAATTTTAAAAATCTGATAATTAAATAGCAAAATCTAATGTGATCCAGTATCTAATATGATGAAAAAAGCAACAAAGTCTCCGGTCTAATGAACAGAAGATAAACTCAACTGATTATTATCAAGATATATTGACGTTGGGTTTTCAGCAAAGATATGATGCAACATCTTCTAACACAGTCATTATCCTACAGTTATCGTTTATCAGTTCGAGGATGCCTGTTTTAGCCAAATGTTTCTTAGCTAGCCACATTTTGTACATAATAGTACAACCTTCGTAGTTTGTAGTAGTAAAAGTTGAAGAAAGTTAAGGTTCCACCATAAAATCAATTGGCAATATAGAGAGTAGCTCAACCTGTTATAAGCCCATGCAAGTCCCTTCTCCCATCAATGTAGGACTCATTCTTAACAAAAGTTAATGAAGACTCAAATCATAACGTGCAAATCTTAGAAAAGTTAGTGCAAGATTCAATTCAGCGTGCGCTCCTGAATTCTATCCAAGATCACAAAGAAGGTGGTACTAGTACTGCCGACAGCTCTCAATAAAGAAAAGGAGCAAATGCAAAACCTGGCAAGACGAGTATAAAACAGTTGTTTTGCTAATGTTTGACATTTCTCAATGGTGGGGGGCTCCTGGACATGGTGCTTGTTCTGCTCTACCATCTGCTTGTAATATGTACTTCCATTCTTGAATAAAATGTTTGACGCCTGAACCAACTTCGGTGGAAACTTTGATGCCATGGATACGAACCTAAAAGTAAAAATGGCGCATTAAATCAAACTGCAAGCATACTCAACAACATCATGGCGATGCAAGACAAAAGGAGAAATTTCGATCAATATTGTACTCCAACAATATCCAAATCCTTTGATCATGATCTCCCACGCCGAATAAAAATACTTGAACAACGACAATCAAATACTTGTGGTGTTCATGCCTGTGACCATCAAATCGTTGAGGACAATGCGCGCAATCCATTGTAACAGAACGAAATAAACTCTGGACAGTTTCTGAATCAATCAGACAATCTTCTTCAAGAAAAACTTGCGACTTTTGTACAAGTACTCAATCTTGAACTCCAAGTTTAAAATCAAATTGTAGGATTGATGATTATGGTTATTTTATTTGTTAAAATTTTAAAGGAAAACGGTACATGATTGAATGATCACCAGCATTGCTGATTTGAACATAATCCAATATAAGAAAATTAGTGAATAACACCATGAGAAGAGTGAGTAAAAACCCAGTTCAGCAGTCAGAGGCTCAGAGCTCCGCTGAAATTAAAAAACGATCCTATGCTTAATATATATATATACCAAATGGGGTGGAACTAACAGCAGCAGGCGGCAAAGCCGTCCATAGAATTAAGAGTGCGGAAGTAAAGCATATAAAAACAAAGAAGCATATCAATATATTGAATTAAAAAGAACTCAGGTTGATTGAAAAGAAACATCCATGGATGACTGATAATAACATGGAAAGAAAGAATTAAATTAATTATAGAAGATAATTCCATGAAAATAATGAATTAAATGTAATGATGCAAATATATTTGGAAAATAAGTTTTATTGAAAACTTACTGCAATGCAGATTACAAACAGGTATTGCCTAATGGCAGATGAAACAAGTAAACAAGGTGGAGCTCGCAGGCATCCTGAATAATATATGTATTACAAGTGTTTGGAAAAATAATCTCTGTCCTTTGTGGATAAGCAGAGAGATCTATTCTTGAACTGAGCTATTGAGTTTTAAAAAACCCGTGTCCCTCTTCTGAAGATGAATTCCTCTTTTTATAGAAGGAGGAGAATGATTGAATAATGCCATTTTCATCCGAGAATCCCGCTGGAGTGAGAAGAGGACTGACAAAGCTGGCTGAATGATGAACCGTTACTGTGGAGTCACGTTATTACTTTTACAAAAGCTGAATGAATAGTGACCCTTTTGTTTTTTACTATTGATGATGCCTTTACTGTGGAATCACGTTGCTACCTTTTACAAAAGCTTGAAGAAACAGTGACTTTTTTGTTTTTCACTATTGAAGAATAGTGCCTTGTCTGTACGGAAGAAATGATAGCAGCTACTGCTGATGAAGTTGTTTGGCTGACACAATCACATGGGCAAATAAAGCAGTTCAAAATTCGAACGGATCTTGTGCATCTTGAAGGTCCACCTGATCAGCCCAATTAGCGGGAAGCTGAGACCCTGCATCAGAAGCGTCAGAATCCGAGTCGGAACCTTTCTTTTTCTGGAGCATTGTTGCTTCGGCCATGAGCTGTTGGGCCAAGTCCAGAAGCTAGGTAGTCTTTGAAGATTTTTCTTTCTTCGAGCTAGATGATTTGGCTGACTTGGTCTTTCCTTTAAGGGAGGAGGATGGACTAATGTCTGATAGAGATTGAACTGGTTCTTGAGCTTTCGGGAGTTCAGGAAATTGCTGGGTGTTTGGCAAGGCCTGCGAAGAAGATGCAGTAATTGCTGGGGACGAACTCTGGGGAAATTCAGCACAAACTAGATCAATAATCTTTTGGTAGTTGAATTTGTCCCACCATTTCACCCATAGTGTCCGAAAGGAGTTACGAAAGCAGTTTTGTACTTATCAGATTCATGAATTTGGATTTGCCAGAAGCCTGATTTCATATCAAATTTGGAAAAAACAGTTGCTTGAGAAAGTCTTTTTATCAAATCTCTTTTGTTAGGAATTGGATATCGGATCCATTCTAAAACATCATTCAAAGGTTTGTAGTTAATAACTAATCGTGGAACGCCGCGTTCTAATTCTGCATTTTTCACGACATAAAAAGCAGGGCAAGACCATGGAGATTTGCTTTTACGGATAATTTCCTTTTCTAAAAGTTGATTAATTTCGGTTTTACAAAACTCTAAAACTTCTTGGTTCATTTGAATCGGTTGTGCTTTGGTGGGGATTTTTTATTCAACAAAATCTTTAATATAAGGGAGTTTAACAATATGCTGTTTTCTATGCCAAAAAGCATTTGGAAGATCTGAACAAATTTCTTTAGTAAGCTTATCAGAAAAGTGGCGAATAGAATCTAATAAAGATTTGTTTGTTAACTGTTCTTCAATTCTTTTGTGAAGAATTTCTTCCTGTAAAAAAGCAATTTGTTGGGGTTTTGCAGTAATCTGGTTGAGAGTTTTTGAAACACTATCCTTTTGTAGTTGCTTTAACTTTTTAAGATCTGTTTCTATGCAAAATTCAAAAGTAATTTTTTGGCCAAAAACCTCAGTTGTAATACAGTTATGATGAACTTTGAAACGATAAATTAATGCGATGAAAGGGAGTCCTAAAATAACTGGATCAGAAATATTTTTAATCAAAACAAATGAAGTTTTAAAACAAACGTTCTGTTGGCAAACATGAGCTTTGGGGATTTCATATTTTAATTTCATTGGGGATTGGTTTGCAGCGCTAAGTACCTCAGTTGACTTATGATAATACTTTATAGGTATTAATCCTTCTTGAATGCAATTTAAATCCGCGCCTGAATCAATTAAAGTGATGGTTTCTAAAGAAAAATCGTCAATTATTATTTTGATTTTAGAATATCATTTTCTAATTCTTATTTTGTCTAAAAGACTTAAAACAAGATCTTTTGAAGAAGAGGATTTGCTTGATTGGGCATCGGAATCGGAATGTGAAGAAGAATTGCCATGTTCTTCTACAAGTGCTTGTGTGCGTGCTCTACTGAGTTATGAACGAATTTCGGTATTTTCGGATTTTAAAAACTTAATTTCTGATTTAATTTGATTAATTTCTTTTTGTAAATCCTTGATGGTTAAATCCTTTTTTGATTTATTAAACCGTTCCAAAGTGGTCCTGAGAGAAATCTTTTGAGAAGAAGTTTGACTAGTGCCAGGTTCATGAGAAGAAATCAAATTTTTGAGTTTTTTCAAATAAAAAGATTTTAAATCAGGATCCTCGACTTTACTAATTAATTCCATTAAAAACTCTTCTTGTTCTTCTTGCTTATTAAGCATTGAAATTTTATTACAACAAGTGTCTGTGCACCCAAACTTAATGTTTGGCGAGGAGACATCGCTAGAACTGCTAGAGTCAGAGACGGAAAAATCGGGATTTTTATCAGATTGACTAGAGTCGGTATTTCTAATTTCTAAAGCCTGAATAAGTTGAACTTTCTCTTCGTCAGAGATTTTTAGCTGGTTAATAACCTTCTTAACTTTACATTCATTTGCAAAATGACCAAATTTGCCACATTTGTAGCATTTTCTCTTTTTATTCTGAAAATCCTTTTTAGATTTTTGAAAAGGTTTTTTGTTTGAAGATGGTTTTTCATAAAATTTATTTGTTTGGAAAGGTTTGTTGGAAGATCTTTCGTTTTTATAAAATCTGGATTGATGTTTAGAAAACCTGCTGGTTTGTTGGATTTTTTTCTTTTTTCTCGAAGGAGCAATCAGAGGTAAACTATATTATTCACAAAATGTTCCAAGTTCATATTTAGCAATAGATTTATCTTTATTAACTTGTTTTGAAATCTTCATGTCAATACACATTTTTAATCCTTCCTTTTGTATGACATTAACTATGTTACCATAAGTAAGGGTATGATAAGGTATGACACCTTCTTCGTCTACTAAAACATTTCGGATTTTATGAGCAAAAAGATTTGGTAAACTATTGATAAATTTTTCTTTCCAAAAGGGTTGATTACTATCTTCCCGAAGAATAACTCTGGATATAAAAACATCTTTATACCATCTGAAATCACTTAAGGTTGGACACCTTAAATTACTCAGTTGGTCGTGAATACGAGTAGTGACGTTGCTGGGTGTTCCTATAAAGTGTTCTATAATCATATAAAGTAAAGTATTTACTCTGTCGGGTATTCCTTGTCCTATCGTTTCATCAAAGATGGGAAGTTCTTCCTCATTTTTTTTGACCACAAAACGTAATTCATCTCTGGACTGAGAAGTTAAGTGCTTCTCCCACCAAGAATGAAGCATTCCAGTGAAACCAATGACGAGCAGATCAACGATTTGTGTTTGTGTTAAATTGTGATTTGAAATGTAGCTATTAGCAACCATGGACATATGTTGAAGTTTGTTCAAAAGTTCTTGTTCTGACAATCCATTTATATTCCATTCATAGAGTTTGTCAGCAGAGACTGAAAATTGATTTTGGATATTTCTTTCTTCAAACTGAAGATCAGGGGGAGTTGGCTTGGGATACCAGTTTTTTGTAAGAGAAGTAGGGTTGACAGGATGAGTATGAATGCGTTTTAAATCAAAAGTTGGCTGAAGATCAATGTTTTGAAAAGCATTTTCAATATTTTGAATAGCAGAACTACTTTCCGTGTCCTGAGAAGAATCTGAATCAGATGTGTTGTCTTCTTCGACGGAAACATCATTGTTTTGTAAAACATTAACAACTTTCTCTTTTTTGAGCTCAGTGAGCATATGCTCAATTTTTTGTAAAGTAGTCATAGATTTTAAAGCAGTGGAACTTGAAGAGGTATCAGTAAAATTTACTAAAGGTTTTTCTTTTTGAGAAGATTTTGGTTACAATTTGTCAATTTTTGTTTCAATTTTATCTAACTGTTTTTCAATAGTGTGAAGACTTTGGTTTGTAAAATTATTCTGATCGATGACAGGTTTAAAACCAGAATCCTCTTTTGGAATTTTGAAAAGGGTTGCGGGAATGTTGGTATTACCAGTGGAAATCAAAATAGTTTCTTTGGGAGGATGACTGGAAGAAATCAAAGTTTTGTCCTCCTTAACCCAATTTTCTTTGGTAACAACCGTAACTTTATTTTTGGTTTCATAATGTTTGTCAATAAAATCAAAGAATGATATTTCAAATTGGTATTGTTCTACAAAAGCTTTCCATTCAGCATAAATGGCTAGCTTTTCTTCATCACAATACTTTTTTCGAAAAATATTTCTTCTGGGGATGTTTTCCTCAGAAGCGATGTCAGCTTTAAGCTTCCTCCATCGGATTTTATGTGGTTTGTTTAAAACAAGTAATTGGTGATTCACCGATGTTGTTTCAAAATCAGAAGCAGTTGGAGAAGTGGGTTCTTCTTGGTTTGGATGATGATAAACAAGATGTGCAACTTGTGAAGAAGTGTCGACAGACTTTAATTTGAGCAAATCATTGATTAAATCTTGTTGTGCAGTTTCCTGCTCTTTTAATTTTTTGTTCACTAAAGATTTAATTAAATCTTGATCTCGACCCAGTCTATCGGTTGACGTGGATCCAGAAAATGACTGTCTGCTTGGAGTAAAAGATTTATGTGAATGTACTGATTCACAAGATTTTCTTGCTAGTCTATCAAAATTGATTTTTACAGTGCCGTCAAAATATTATTCAATGTTGTCAAGATTAACAAGACTGTTTTGAACGGAAACCGGCTTACTTTCATTAATTAAACACCAATCTGAAGGGAGACTGATGTTTGACCACCTAATGGTTCTTGGTACTCTTATGTTTGCGCTTTCTTGAGTTGTTTGGATCAAAAGAATGTGGTCGCGAGGACTTTTGTTCAAGGCTTGAAAATTCATGTTTGTGTCAGTGACTTTGTAGTAAATTCTAAAAATAAGTGCCAAAGGTTGTGTTCCTTCCAAGACTTGGTACCCGGAGGATTTGATATTAAGAGTAAGAGCTTTTAAAACATGTGGATCTGAAAGACTTATTGTGAAATCGGGAAAACAATCAAAATGGATAGGTCCGTTGTAAAGACTAGATTTGATCATTTCGAGTATACTATCGTTGAAATCAGTAAATCTAACGTCGCGTAGACATAAAAGATAGAAGTGTTAAGACATTTTCGTGTTAATGGTTTAACTGCGATTTGAACTAAACCAATATGAAGATAGTTATGACCATTTTTACGATGCGCTTTGATTTGTTCTGGAGAAAATAATTGATAAGTCTCATGTTCTTTGCTAAGAGCATAAGTCTTCTCAACTGTTTTGACGTGATGTTCTGATTTAAAAGAAGTCAAAGAACATTTTTTCTTGTAAATATTTTGGGTTGAAACTTTTGGAATGTTCCAGTCAGAAAAATCCATACTTTCATCTGTTTGAAAATCCAGTTTTTGTTCTTCATTGACAATGTCAGGTATAGTTCCTAAGTTAGATCTAGAGCTAGTGCTGGCCATTGAATTAGATCTAAATAATCTACTCATGAAATGCACAAAGCAAGTATACTATATGCAAGACTTAAAAGATTCACCTTCCTCGTATGTCTAGACTCTTCCCCCGCTCATGCGCTCCACTCATGCCTCTCCTGGGACTTAATGTTTGGACCACGTCTTACTGTTTGGCTGGAAGAAAGAAGAACTGAGGACCGACGATTAAGAAATGCAAATAAGATACAAGTATGTGGGTAACAATGAACAGATTAGATAAATGCTAATACAATTACCAACCACTTGGCTCTGATACCAAATAGGGTGTGAAGGGGTTTGGTATGATAAAGAGGAAGACCCCAATCTTGTTCAATGAGAAATTTTCCAATATGAAGTGGAATGTAATGCCCTTTGGCTTGAAAAACACACCAAGTGAATTTCAAAATATCATGAATGAGATTTTTAATCAATACAGCCATTTTTCGATTGTTTATATTGATGATGTATTAATTTTCTCAAAATCAATAGATGAGCATTGGAAGCATTTGCATGCATTTGTTAGGATCGTTAGGTCTAATGGGTTAGTCGGCTCGGCATCTAAGATTAAGTTATTTCAAACCAAAGTTAGATTTTTAGGATACCATATTTACAGGTCTACCATTCAACCAATTGATCGAGTCATCCAGTTTGCTGATAAGTTTCCAGACCAAATTATTGATAAAACCCAACTTCAGCGATTCCTCAGATCTCTCAATTATGTTTCGGAATTTTATCCTCATCTTCGTCAACAATGTAAACCTTTGTTTGATCGTCTCAAGGAGAATCCTCTATCATGGTCCCAAAATCATACTTCCATTGTCAAACAGATAAAAAATCATGTCAAGACTTTACCTTACCTTGGCATTCCAACTCCCGACTCTCTCAAAATAGTCGAAACCGACGCTTCAGACATCGGTTATGGAGGTATCCTCAAACAGAAAACTTCTTCCGAATCTCCTGAACAAATTGTTCGTTTCCATTCAGGAATTTGGAATCCGGCTCAAAGTAACTATAGTACTATTAAAAAAGAGATTTTATTAATTGTATTATACATTAGCAAATTCCAAGATGATTTATTAAATCAAAAATTTTTAGTTCGTGTTGATTGCAAATCTGCAAAACATGTTTTACAAAAAGATGTTCAAAACATTGCATCAAAACAAATTTTCGCACGCTGGCAGACCATATTAAGTATTTTTGATTTTGAAATTGAATACATTAAAGGCAGCCAGAATTGCATACATATATGTATGTATGTATGTATGTATACTGCTAAAGCACAACAACTGAGCTGAGCCCAGACTTTTACACAAGAACAAAACAACACAACCCGCATTATTCCCAACTCATTCAACACTCAACGTGGAAACAGAACCCTAAACGCCCGATGAAGAAGCTGATCACTTGGCTACTATTTCGAAATTTATACTGTAAATGTAATTCGATATTATTTTCTTTACCCTCGGGAGTTTGGGCTAATGAACACGTTGCAGAATGAAGAGAGCTTTTTCTACTGTTCTTTGTAAATGTAACCTAATTCATGCAAGATGGACTGGCTCTGGGTCCAGGATGTGAGTCCGAAACACGATGGCATTCATAGCCTCTCGCGAGGTGGGTTACAATGTCAGTCGGGCTTCTCTTCTCTCGCACCATCTCTCCACGCCTCCTTCCGCCGATTTCATCATTTCCGAAACTGAAAACTGAAGAATTTGAGGCCTTGTCTCTGATCGAATTGAAGGGATGCGTCCGAAAGAATAACTTGCAGCTAAATCTAACGGAGCACAAGTTCAGAGCTGAATAACGTCAACGGAAAAAGGGAAACGAGGCTCGTGAATTTCAACATCAGAGCCGGAGTCCGACAGAAAACCGATGTATTTTCAAAGAGAAGCCTAAAGCAAATATTTGCTTTGCTTTAGTGTACAGAATGTCGAAGCTACAATAAATAATAACCATCCTTAATGAAATTTCAAGCATGACAAAGAATCAATAAAAAAATGAACTGCAAGTTTCAACAGCTCTAATCCCACCAGGATTTTTTCAGTAAGGAAAAGAAAAGAAAAAACTAGATTTTAACTTAAAACCTAATGGCAAATATTGAACATCCTTTTTAGTATTTGTTGTAGGAGAGCTACAATCACATTTTCTTCTCCACTTCAACCCAACACAAATTGCAAGACAACACCCCAAACATCTTCTCTTTTAAAGAAGATGAAGGTGCGGGCGAAAAAGATAACGAAAGAAAAATGGAAACGGGGTTGGGAGGGGGTAGAAAATGGCGACGCTACCCACTGGAAGGACAAAATGAAGTTGCTTCTTCCTTGTGAATTCTGTGACAGCCACTTCTGGCCCTTGAGAATGAAACCGTATGCAACAGGTTCAAGGGGGTGTCTTGAAATGTCAGAACTAATGTGGCCTCCCATTGACTGGTTGGTGGGAAAGCAATGGAAACCTTCTCCAGCAGCAACCTCAAAGGCTAACCAAGAAAACACGTTTCTTGTTGGACTGTCGTTATGCGTAGTACATGTACAAGCTGTTAGCAGCAGCACAGGCTATTGAGTTCTCGGTAGGATGCCATGCCAAGTGCAGCAACTTTGTTGTGAAATCATAACAATTTCCGTTTGCATCAACCCCGGGGCTTTCTGCTCCTGTGATCGATTTTGCCGGGGTAGACAAATAATATTCTTTTAAGTAAATATACCCAAAAGAGAAAGGCCAACAAACCAAAGAACGTTCAGTGTTATCAAGTCAATGGTAAATGGCAAAGAGAAAGCACTTACCACGTCTGACAACTCGTGTTATGCTACTGCTTAGGGACCTAGAAGGCCTAGAAGGAGTCTGAACTTGTCGCCTAAAACAGCAGAGAATACATTATATAATCGTCAAAATTATCCATAAACTAAACTCCCAGTCAAGCTTCCTGATGTTTTTTGAGTTAAACTTACCTCATTGGATTTTTGCTGGCTTCTAAGGTTGTTGCCTCAGTACTACCAGTGGCAGAACCAAATACACGGAATAGATTGCTGAGATCACATTAATACATATTAACACAACCCCAAATGACTTTTATCAAAATGATAGGAAACAGATACAAGGCACCAAAACACACCTGTACGAGCCTGTTGCCACTCGCGACCCATCACCACTCAGACAACACTCAAATTTGTCGAAGATAGAGTCATTCTCATATAAATCACACAGCTGGATACATTTAAACAAGATAATCAGGCTTAAGCCCATTATAGTAGGCACAAATTACATGTTCACCGTTCGTTTGATGACAAGAATCTCACCTTAGGTCTTAAATATTCATGAACCTGGAAGGTTTGGACTGGACCTGAATCCATGTTGATGTCCCATAACTGACAACCATGTGAACCAGTTCAGATAAGATAGCAGGGAGATAAAGATCCCACACACATCACATTATGGGAGAGCAAGACTTTATAATTTAAACAGCTACAATTTGACAGAAAAATCACACTATGCGAGCAGATATCATGCTGAAGTAGTTATTAAAACTATTTAAAGGCATTATCTCTCCTCAAATAATTAAGGAACCCCAATTTAGGACATGCTTTGGACGTCTAATTTCCCTTTAAAATCATTTTTTTTGGGGAGAGAAAGTGGGAAAACAAATAAAAAAATTTGCCACACCATCATGGCCAAGATTTCAGTTTTATGGGTAATGGAAATGTTAGGAAGGGTGCAGTCTTGGGTGAGGTTGTAGTTACTAGTTCATCACATTAATAATCCTCAATGGTCCTTTGAAATGGTCTGGGTTCATGAGTGTTATTGCACTAGCACAAGTACACCCAGAAACATACAATAGACTCAAAACTAAGTAGAACTCAGAAAAAGAGCTAATCATTCTGTGTGTATCTGCAGGGCACGTATGCATGTGCCTCCGCTACCATTATTTCAACACCCAATAGCATCTACAGGGAAATAATTCATTCAGATTTCCGTACACTTGTGAAGGAAATGGTTTGAAGGCTTAGACCATATATGTAGCTTTCCAGACACTTATGTATATATATAATAACATCATTTTGCCACACTATATGTCGTATTCAGGATGTATAATGTCCGAACATAATAGCATTACACAGTTTTATGATAAGATAAAGCAAGTGAAAACCAATAAGAAAAATAAACAAACCTTAAGAGTCATGTAATCTCGGCTAAGTATATATCTTCCTTCCTTTCCGAACTTAATATCCGAGATTGAAGCAATAATCTCTGTAAAAAATGATCTAGCACCAGGCGCCTCCGGTTCCTCAAATCTGCACACAAGATAATTTAATAACAAATCATGTAGTCTACAAAGAGAAACAACAAAACATTATGTATCATAACTGATGCTATTTTAACCAACATGTTGACAACCAACTAATTATTGAAGAGAATAGTATTTCCATCTCTTTTCCCCCCGTTTAATAAACGGCAAGAAAAAGGTAATCAAAACATGTCATTCATCTCTCCAGTTTGCACTAAACACCCTTACTCTCTTGTCCCCCCTTTAGTTGTTGTGGTAGGTGGACTACAAGATGACAACAATTAAACAGAAAGACAAATGCTTACAATTTAGCATGAGAATCACACAAAGCGGACTGCCGCAAATCAATGAGTCGAATGGAGCCTTTGGAACTGCTGTAGGCTAACGTATTGCAATGGGTAGGGTGGAACTCTGCTGATGTTATCACCTCTGCAATAATACAAAATGGGAATTCAACAGGCATGCTAGTATTTTTGAACATCTAGCCAATCTTCAGGGCCGCAACAGTAGCACCGGAAGATGTAGTACCAGAAGAAATTAAAACTTTTATATTTTGATCTTTTTAAACAGAGTCCAAATTGCAATTATTCCTGGCTACTTGAAAATTTGAATCTCAAAGAGCCCTCAGCTAGATGCACGAAGATGCGCGGATGTGTCCCCGCACACATTTTGAAAACTATGGACTTCAACCCAACTCCAAGCACCATTAAAGTACTTTTTAAACAAGTTCCACTGAAACTTTTAATAACTTAAAATGTAAAACAGAACTGGGAATATGAATATATTAATGAAGCTTACCGGTTAAATCTTCCATGTTTGCAGGCTTCACATCAACAATATTGAAACTTTGATTGCTAATTTCCAAGTTCCAAAGATTTATTCGCAGATCATCAGCCGATATAAAAGTTTCACCATCACTAGGAAAAATGTAAAAGAGAATTGGCAAATATTCGTAGCAGGATGCCAAAAGTAGGCAAACAAAGTATCATAATTAAGATATGCGAAAAGCCAATGATTATGGTTCTTATCCAGTTTTACAGTTCAATGAACAACTATTAACCATTACAAACAAGAAATGCAGCTGCCGAAATTGAATGATGTTGTGCCTGGTTAATTGAAAAATAGGAATTGGTTATACATTTTAGCAAGATTAAAAGAAGCATAAGGATTATACTGTTTAATAGAGTCATAAGGATGTTAGACAAACCCCAAAGTCAAATATAAAGCTATATGTACTACTAATGATGTCCCAGACGAAAACTGAAAACACAATTTCAGTAAAAAATAGAGCCACCTGTTGTTTGAAATTGAATTGATATGATAATCATGAGCATGGGCATACACTCTTCGACATCTAGCAGCTAGGCTAGTCTCATGGCTAGTTACCTACAAAATCAAGTTTTGAAAGTTAGTTCACAATGAAATTCAGAAAACTACCACATGTTAAAGAATCCAAAGAAGGGGAGAAAGGGGTAAAAAAGACACCGCAGGCATTGAAGTACCACAAGGAGAAGGTTTTAAGGATCCCAACTAGCTGAGTATAAGGATAATAAGCCTAATGTGAATAATTTGAGTCTTCTAAAATAACCTCATTTGATAAATCAACACTTACCCATACGCACGCACATAAATGCATACACACAAATGTATGGTTATATATCAGACAGTAACACCAAATGATGAAACAGCATAACACAATGTGCTAAATTGCTAACATAAGACACAACGAGAAAATGAAAATTGGGTTGAGTACTACCACCTGCGGCAATCGTAACGAGGGAATGCCTCCTGGTGGAAATGAATTGTCATTACTCATACAACTGAATGATTTGTCTGGGCCTCCTCCATTTGCAAGATACGTTTTAGGGCTACTCAAATTACTTGAACTAGCAAGACTGCCATTTCCTACAGCTTTTGAAGGATCCACATTCATTTCAGAAATTTTCTTGACCTTCTTTTCTTGGACCTGTTCAACACTCAATCAAATAATGTAGAAAAGATTTTTCGCTAAAATGTCTTATTTGTCATCATTTATTTTTAATCTCCGGAAAAAAGAATATACACGTACCAAACAGTTATATGAAGTACATCAATAAATTTATGTATACTGCATTACATCACATAGTGACTATCTCTACAGCCAAGGTGAATACGACCTCCTCTTACAAGCACAGGCTGTTCAGTAATCGAATGTTTCAATCTTCCTCAGGAAGTCAAAGAGTTAGAAACCTACACCTATAGTGCATACAGCTATCTAGCACCGCATCTATTCAAAGTTCAGACAATTGCATCTACAATACATAGAGCTATAAGCTGGTAATCCAAATATTCAAGGTCCTCAAAACAGACCCCAAGTCAAAGAGCTGCATATTCTCTTACTGATTATGACATATTATACCATAAACATGTAAGCAGACACACAGGCTAGGCAGTTCAAAAAAATTGGGCACCATTTCTCTCATGCTGTCGCCCACAATTCTAAAAAAATTTAAACTGCTACAGGAGTGTTGCTTTCATACCTTCCAAAACTTAATTGTTTTATCATTAGTAGATAGGAGAAACAGGGCACCATTAGCTGTTTGGCACCATCTGATTTTGTTGATTTTCTCCTCTATTTCCAAACTCTTCAGATAGTCAAACTGACAAAAGAATATGCACAGTGACCAATTTCAATACATAGACCAACGGTAAATAAATAGGGATGTGCAATCCACCCACCCCTTTTGACCTTCTACACACAGCTCAATTTCCGGCCATCGGATCAAAGGATAGAAATTAACAAGGGTTGTGTTGAAGGTAAAAATGGGTGTGTGGATAGCACCACCCAATTAGATATGATGGTGTGGTAATGCATTAGTAACCGCAAAGAAAAGAATACCTCAGGTTCATGGCTCTGAAACTCTGTTTTGTAACGGAACTCGGGATGCCTACTAACTGAATAATCCATCCTCTCAAAATCCCTTCTGGAGCCACCATGCTACACATTACAGCATTCAAATACAAGTTAAAATTGCAGAAAACAAAAAAATATGGCATATAAACCTTGAAATAACAGAAAAGGCTTGCAAGTGAAGAAAAACACACATCTTTCAAATCTGTTCTCTCAAAGAGAACAACCCGACCCCCACGGTCACCAGTAGCAAGATGGTCGCCAGTTTTATCAAATTCAATAGCAGAAATAATGTCAACTGCAAAACAATAAAAATCAGATGATAAGTGAGAAATCTTAATGTTGTCCTCATATTATTAGAAAGAAGAAAGTAATAAGATAAACTTACCAGATTTGTCTATAATGCTACACTAAAAAATATGTAACTGGGAACACGTCAAACACTAGACTTTCACTTATCATAATTCCTCCCACCTATAAACTTTTACAGGCTAATTATCCTTCTAAATAGACACAAGAATTCATTCCTACCATGTCAATGCTGTGTGCCAGCCATGAACCTCAACTAGCTAGGCTCTGCTATATGAATCTAAACTTACCCTTACCATCTGTTTTGTATTGCCTGCGTACAAATTCATTACTTGTTAACCGTCCGTATTAGTCTTCCCATCTAACTCTTTTGTCATTGATCCTTCAGCTCAATTAAAAATAAACCCTTAGGGTCTGTTTTCCATTTTTTATTTTCATCCCACTGCAGCTACAATATTCATGATGCATCTATTCATCTGTTGAAAAACAATCCTCATTTACAAGCACTAAGAGTCTCATATGTCATAGCAGAACCCTTCTTCGAACTCTAGTTCATAGTTAGTAAACATATTAAGTTTTTCCACGGTTCTAACATACAACGATCCAGAATTTGATTGGCTCATCTTTAGCAACATAAATTGTGCGGGGAAAATGTATTGACTGCAACAACTAGAGTGGGGACATGGCAATACTATTATAACATGCCAATAAACCAATGCCTATGCAAAATTCTTCTAATGATCAAATGAGAATTACTGTTGGTTCTGAAAATACTCCCAAATTGTTCATTTCCAACTGGATCACTAATCAAATTCTTCCAATACCTATCCCGGCCAATTAGTGGCAACCCAACCTAAGTAACTGACTTTCTTATGAAATAAGTAACCAATGTATAAGTAACTACGCGAAAATCTAAAGCGCTAATCAGTAAACACACAAATTACTATAATGTAGTTACATTTTTCTCCTTAGTAACATATAGATTCATGACAGATATATACAACTATTTAACCGATAGAGGAAAGACAGCTAAACAGTGGCATTTTGATTGAAGTCCTACTACTTCCAGCAGGCACAGAACAGTCCAAAATCAAAACAAGGAAAGGAAACAATAATGATACAAAACTATATCGCAAAAATAGGCGTGTTAACAACTTAAAAGAACCATTTATACGACCAAACAAGTGAAACATTAACTAAAATCGCAAACAGAAACCACCTCTCACTCAAGCAAGCTCAGTTCCACACTGTTTGTTCATAAATCCAAAACATAAAAAATGCAACCTATACTCATATGCACATCTCTCCACCAATTTCAGACTTCAAGTCCGCTACTGTCCCCAAATCAGAACAAAACCCCCACAATCAAACACTAATCACTCCACGACCTAGATGCCGAAACACTAATTACTCAACCACCATGATCCATAACAGATCGAAAGATAAAAAACTAACCATAAATGCAACACTTGAACAAAAATATCGATTGGATCCCAAAGGGTCGTGAAAGTTTTGAACAAATACCTTCCTGAACTTCTTCACCGGCCGTACGCTCGCCGAAGACCTGAGAGAATTTCCATTCCAGAGGCGGTGGAGGAACCCCCGGAGCTGCTGCGACGACCTCATCACCCCCGTTCATTTCTCGGACACAAGCAGAATCGAATTAACAACGGCCCAGATTACCCAAACACCAAATTTTCCACCAATCCAATCAGCTTATCGAAGATCGCTTTCTGGGTTTACAAGATCAGATACAGTAGTGGAAAACCCATATCCGAAAAACGAAATAAACAATCACGATGGTTTCTGGGTATTTTCCAATTCAACCATTTCAATACAAAAACAACAAAAGGCCTCGCTCTTCTCTCTCCTCTCTCTCTCTCTCTCTAGAAGGAGAAAATTGGGATTTTCAGATCAATTTACGAGAGTTTTAACGAATAGATCACGCTACTGTTTATTTTAACGAAAATCACATTTTTACATTAAAAAATCAATTCTAAGACTATTTATTTTACCCTTTATTTTATTTTTATCTTTAAAACTCAAAGTTTTTAAATCTTTTTCATTGATTTCCTTTAATTTATTTGGAAGAGATTTAAAACGACAGAGCAAATCCTTCTTTTGGCTTTTGAGACCAAAAAACACACTTCTCTCTGTGTGTAAGTTCTCTCGATTATGGCCTTCTCTAGTTTCCTTTTTCATTTTTTCTTGTTTTGGGAGGCTTGTGATAAGATCACCTTGTGAAGTGACAGATGGACGGCTGAGAGACTTTGGTTGGGTTGTGGGACCTTGGGAGCAAAAGGGTGGTGAGAGTGGTGTGATTTAATTGGTTGGTGACGAGGTGCAGTGTTGTAAGCAGGTGAGTTTAAAAGTAAATAGGGGCTTTGGGGGAAAAGGGAGAAAAGGTGATTGTGGGAAGAGAAAAAGATGAGATTTCCTCAAATTACATGCAAGGGCCTTCTCATCATTTAGAATTTTATGTTATTGTTATTTTCATGTCATAATTTTCTAACAAAAACAAATATTTTTTCGGTTATTTGGTGGAGATTTGTCATTGAATGCATGAGATCTTTATTATGGAATGTAGAAAGGCAAATATGCATCTAGATGTATAAAGTCCCGTTAACATGATCTTAATCTTCTCACAGTAAGTGATAGATTGATTTTGACCATTCAATCTAAGGACTTTGTTTCTACATACTTTTGCAAGTTCTGCCTATATGTCCACTTGAAGGAAATCATTTCATATGAAGGACCTTGCTCTAGCTCAATTAAAACTCGAATGTAAATCTAAATCAAATTTATGTTTATGTCATTCGTTGTTATGAATTTTATTTGCCAAAACACCAAAATTTATATGTTATTTGTTCTATGAAGAGGCAGAGCATAGCCCCATGATAGTTAGGAAATGAGCAAAATGAGAAGATGGGGGTATGAATTCACCATGTAATGGTTTATAAGAGCATCTCCACCTCTTGGTGGAGAGCAATGACAACTCGAGAGAAAGGGCAATGAATGCCTTCGCTATTTAGGGTTGGTTTGAAATTGTGATACTTTTAAAAATGGTAGCTTATTAAAAAATTTGGAAAATTAAATGTATTTGGTAAAACAAAAAAAAGTGCTCTAAAAAAAAGCTACAGTTAATGACAGTAGAAAAGCAAAAGCAGAGTCTACCATGCTTCTAAAAAAATGTTTTTTTTTTTTTTTTTTAAAGTCATCAATCAGTGTCCATTTAATGAAATTTTCAAATGGCAAGTATATTGCCACGTATTTTACAAAATTACAATCATCGTCTCTACATTATTGTCTTTGACAATTATTATGTCACATTAAATATTATATTCTTTGGGAACTGTTATTAGTACTCCAAAAATCTCATTCTACACTCCTCACAAGTGTATTTTTCTTTCTAATTATAGAAAGTTTGGAGTACCAAATGAGACTTTTAAAGTACTAATAACAATTCTCTATCCTTGTAGTCGTTTAACATATTCACAATAATTTATATAAAAGTTTACCAAACACTCATATACTATTTTTTTTTTTTTTTTGGGTAAATCTCAATCTACTACCCTCAAGTTTCATGGTTTTCAACATTTAGTACATCAAGTTTTTTTTTTGTCCCAGAGTCATATCTAAAGTGTTAAGTCTCAGTTAGTCAAACTGTTAAGTTTGCCGTTAACTGATGACGTGGCGCTCATGTGGACAATGACGGGGCTACATGTCATCCACGTGGAAATTAAAATTAAATTATTTATAAAATAAAATTAATTAAATAATTAATTCAAATAATTCAAATAAAATAAAATAAAACCCTTTCTTCTCCAAATCCCACCCGTGCCCACCCTCTCACCCTCCCATCACCCACCCCTTCATCTTCCCCAAATTCTACCCGTGCCCACCCTCCCATCACCCACCCCTTCTCCCACCCCCCAACACTCTTTCTCTCACACCACTCCTACCTCAACCCCTGATCCCCTCCATCCCTTTCTCTCCTCTACACACCCACTCCGCACACCCACCTTCAATTCCCTCTTCCTGTAAATTCCACCAAAACCTTTAACACCTTCAGCCTGTGATATTTCACACACAAGTGCAACCCACCCTCACCTCCCTAAGTCAAAATCCGAGTCGCCAACCGCAGCTCATTCCTTGATCACACCCAGATGCAGGGGAGTGAACCCATTGCAATCCAACACCAAACCCAGATCTGGTTTGACCTGCACCAGATTTTTCACCATCGGTTTTCAATTTTTGAATTTGATGATGTTGAATTTCATGGGTTTCTAATTTTTTATGGTTTGGGATGTGGTTTTTTTTTTATTTTTTTTTTTTATAGTTTTGTGATTGTGATAAGAGAGTGGAAGTGTAGGAGTCAAAGAGGGAAGGGAAGCACTGGGTGTGGATGAGGGAGGAGGAAGAGGGTGGATGTGCAGAGTCGAAGAGGGAAGGGGAGCACTGGTGTAGAGTCCATTAAGATTCCTTCAGTGTTCATCTGCGTGATTTCGTTGGAGCCAATGCAGAATCCCTCAACGTCGTCGTACTGCTTGGTGTTGTGGGACCAGCAGGCCTACCACGTTATGACGACCTCCTTATTCGACCCCGCAATCGCTATCCACGACTCTGAGAAAGAGAGGAAAGAGAAACCTGAGAGAGAGAGAGAGAGAAACTTATGAGATAGAGAGAGGAAAGAGGAAAGAAGAGAAGAGAGATGAGAGAGGGGAGCAAGCGGTGGATGACACGCCCCAACCCTAATAGTACTCGAATACCAGGATAGACACATGCTAGCCGACACCCGAGGGTGACGAAAGCCATTAATTGATACAAAAGCTAAGAATGAGAAATAAATAAGGGTTATGAATTGAAATACAATGAATTAACAACTTAGGAACGTGCTCAGAGCATACAGCTAATAGAACACTAAAAAAATAATATAAAATTGAATGAATAAAGGAGTGGGTCCTACACCTAGAGGGCTCGAAGATGTCGATGCTGAAGTGCCTCGATTCTAAGACTTGAATGGGGGCGCAAAACAAAGATGAGTGGACTAGGTTCATATATATAATAATAATAAAACAATTATCAAGATACTAACCCCCACAGTTTATATAAAGAAAACTAATAGCATAATAAGTGATAGGTTTACTGAAAATCCTAGCATGCCAAAAACATCTCAAAAGACATATCGCGGAAATCAAAATACCAATCGTCTCACAGATCGTCTCGTAAGCGCGGTGTGCTGCTAAGATCACTGAATAAATATAACTCCCGGCCCTATGCCAACACCGTGGTCTCTGCGCCCATAGCTAGAGATTACCAATTCCCGGCCCAATGCCTGCTCCGTGTCCCTCAGCCCGTAGCTAGGGATTATTTCTCCTGGCCTATCTGCCAACACCAGATCCTCGCCCCAGGCAGCATAGTGTCCACTAGGTATCCACAAAAAGTTATGGTTTTTATAGAGTCATCCATCGTCTATACTATAAAGAGGGGTTTCTAAAACATGTTCTAGCATCCTATTGTCATCCATCAGATAGTCTACCAGTTTATGGTTTTTATAGAAAATACGATATATTAAAATATAGCTCAATACAGGCCAACAATTAATTCCTTACAAAATAACGAGACGATAAACAACATTTCGATAAACATGCTTAACATAAAATCAATTCATAAACTCGTAAGGCATGCTATTCATTTATGCAATTAAACTATGAAATCATGTAATTTTAGAAGGGGTCCACTCACAGATACTCCGTAGCAGTAGAGTTGTGCAGAAAAGGATTAAGGAAATCCCCACTAGCAAGTTCACCTAAGCATAAAAATGTACAATTTATCAAACTATGCCTAAACGATAGAATTCCAGGAAATGGACGCCAAAAACGGATTGGAACATCGAAATTGCCCTAAGAGAGATTTTGAGTTTTCGAGTCCTAAGGTTTTTGGTTAAAAAGGGTTAGGGTGAAAGTGGTGGTTTGGGCTTAAACCCAAACCCACACAAACATACACACACACGGCACAACACGCACGCACACGTGCACACACTCACATGGACACACATACACACACACACACACACACTTCACAAACACACACACATGCACAGCATACGCGCGTGCACACACACACACACACACACACACATACACACTTGGCTCGCAGGCCTAACTAAAAATTAAAGGGCTTGGGCCAAGTTTAATAGGACCCAAAGTATGGGTTAGGTCTCCAAAAGGTTATTAGGCTTAACTTAAATAAATGGGTTAGACAAATTTGAATAGGGATATAGGACTTGGACTGGAAAGGCCCAAAGGCCTTGGGTTTGGTGGGTCGCCGGATTCCAAGGAAGGAGAAGGCCGGATTTCGGTCGGAGAATTCCCAAGCTCCGATAGAGCTCAAAACTCAACCAAAACATGTCATTCAATATACCAAATTGAAGCCCCGAAGGTAAAGAATCGAAATATACCCTTGGTTCCCGTCATCGTGGCCAGAATTGGTCGAAAAATGGCCTGGAAGTCACGGGTACCTGCCAGAATCTTAGTTTAACACACCCGAACTAATTTCAAATCCAACCTTCACCAAAACAGGCATACATACTAAGAAATTTGTACCAACATCCAAATTAAGATAAGGTAAGATGATTCTGAGCCTCACCTACTCGCAAATGGTGGAGTTCGACGGAGTTCGCCATTGCACCCTCTCAGTGCTTGTCGTGGCAGAAGAAAGAGAGACTTCGACGTGTTGAAGATCCTAACGAGGGAGTCTCGAGGGTGATGGGTTCATCGAGGCTACAAAAGGGTGGGTGATCTGCATGCGTGTGTGTGGTGCTCGAGTAGAAGGAGACAGTGCAGAGAGAGTTGAGAGAAGAAAGAAGGAAAGAGAGAAAGAAGAGGGTCACGGGGTGGGGGACACAAATAAAGGGGTGGACCCCTTGGGCTCACCAATTAAGAACTAAAAAACCATTTTTAAATAAAATGGGGGTGGGGTTTAACAATGGAGATGGAAGTTGGCGTGGGTGGGAGAGGCAAAGGGCTTGCTGTCGCACCAATCAAGGGCGAGGAATCCAACCCTTTTTCCAGTGAGGAAGACAAATGGAGAAGGAAAAAAGGGGTTCTGGTTTTTTTACGTTTTTTTTAAGTACTTTTATTTAATTAATTTTTTAATTTTTTTAATGACACGTGGCGCCCAGTCATTGTTCACATGGGTATCACATCATCAGTTAACGGTAGACTTAATAGTTTGACTAACGGATCATGAGACTGTCCCAAAATTAACACTTTAGTATAACTCTGGGACGAAAAAAACTTGATGTATTAAATGTTGAAAACCACGAAACTTGATGGTAGTAAATTGATATTTACCCTTTTTTTTTTTTTGTTAAAATCACTTTACAAAAAAAGTTTACCAAACACTTGATAACTTTATTTTACTATTGTCTATTCTCACAACACAACAGAAACAATTTTTTTTTTTTTAAAAAAAGCACAGCAATACCAAACTAGCCCTAACTCTATACAGTAACTACCTTTGTGTAGGTCCACCTGTTTGGAAAGAGGAATGGTAATGGCAATTACTATTCACAAATACAATGTTTATTTTTTTTAATATTGTCTTCATCTTTATGTCACATATCATTATCACGTAGATTTTTGAGTAATCTTAAGTTTAAATTTGTAAGTGTGTTGAACTTTATAAGATTTTTAAAGTGTGAACTTTGTAAGTTTTTTTATTTTTTTTAAATTTTTTTATTTTTTTAGAGTTGGATTAATCATAGGCATTGAATTGCTCTAAAAAAGGTCTACTGGGCTTCGCGCGGAGGGGGGGTTGGGGAGTGTCCCGCCCCTTGTCTGTTGGGCTTTCACTTGGGGCGCAAGCCCTTGCAATTATTGAAGGACCAACTACCTTCAACCCAATTGCCTCCCATTTTTCTTATCGGTGGAGCAACATGTAGAGCAGATGGCAATTGAACTTAATTTCTAGCCCGTTGGAGATGCTATAAGGCCATTTCCAATAGAGATGACTAAAGTTCTAAAAGCCAAACACCGGGCTATGCATCTCAATTCACGTGAAGGACTGTGCCCTACTCTGGGCGGGAGCACTAACACCGAGCTATGCATCTCAATTCACTACTAAACACAAACATAAACCATAACTTACCTGACACTTACTTGTGCGTCCACAGCACCAAACATATATATATATATATATATATACACATATATACAATTACTAATGCATAATTAAATAGGCAAACGCAAAGCATGGCATTTAAAACATATAAAAGTTTAATTTCATTTTCTGGGAAAAATCACAAGTATATAGGTATATACGGAAAACCAAAAGCCCACTCATTGGTAGAAGGGTCGTAACCCCCTTGCCTCGAGTGACTGCGCTCGTCCTCGGGATAGGTCTCACCACTTTCAAGCACTAAAACCAACGGAATCTCGCCGGAAAACTGCACCAAATCCGGCCAAACCTGTAACTCATGATCCCGACGTCCAAAACCTTCAAATGAACCACCCCGAGCTTCCTAAGGACCTCACCAAGCTTCCTACAAGCCTGAAATGGGTATGGTTGAACTCATATGAAGCTCACGAACACAAAGTATAAGTCTCCACCACGATCTACCACGTTTTCGAAGGGTTTGACAAGGAAGGAAGGAAAGGGAGAGAGAGACAGGGATACAGGACAAGGAAAGGATGAGAATGAGTGTGGATGTGTGTGTGTGGTCCAAAAGCAACCAACCAAAACCCCAAAATAACCATACAATGAAACAAAACCACTAGGGGCAAAATCGTCATTGTACCCCTACGGTACGAAAAATCCGGGACGGGTTGTCACAGTTATCCAAAAAATTTCCTTCACATAGTCTGATACTGTTCATTTAAAAATAATTTTTCGCAAGACTATAATTCTGGACAGGACTATATTTACCCATTTTGGTTGGAGATAGCCTAAGGGCTAGTTTGGTATTGCTGTGCTTTGAAAAAAAGCTGCTTATGCTCTGCTGTGAGAATAAGCAGCTGTGAAATAAAGCAGCAGAGTGTTTGATAAATTTTTTTGTACAAGTGCTTTTGAAAAAAAAAAGCAGTATTATAGTGTTTGGTAAACTTTTATGTAAAACAGATGTGAAAAAAAGTCGATTTTTCAAAGCTAAGTTTTGCAGCTTCCTATTTTTGGCTTTTTTTCATCCAAAACTGTGAAAAAAAGCTGAAACTGAATGTTTACCAAACACAAAAACAGCTCTCAGTATTTTTTTATACCAGCTTTTTTCAAAATTACCTCAACACCAAACTAGGCTTAAGTATATCAAGAACAAGTAAGTTTTTTTTTTTGCCCTCATGTCACAAGAGAAGTAGAAACTAAAGTATATTTCTACACGGATCACACCACAAACATCTATTTGGGTTCATCATGTAAAAGCTCCACTTAGGGTTGGATGTATTTTTGTGTTTTGATGTTATGGGCGTGTCTATCCTACAACCGGACCATCGGTGCAGACTGAAATCAAACAACCATGAGCAAGTCGAGCTTATCAGTAGAACCGGTGCTAAAGACCCATATAATGCAATCCGTATAACTGTTTCCCCTCTTCACCTCCTCCTCCCTTTTTCTCCATAGAATCTCAGAGAAGCATGTCAAAGCCATTAGAGAGATACCAAAAACTCGTCCTCAAAGAATCATTGCCCAAATCCACAGGTACCCATTTGCCCGCAAAGAGCTCAGCTTAATCCTCAGGTGCGCTTACAAGAAATTCCTATCTCTTGTCTTCCAAGACACTTTCACGACCTTTTGCCGCATTCTTGAGTAAGTTATTTTCCTTTCCATTTCTCAAAATTGTAGTATCTGTTTGTTCTTCTTGTGATATTTGTCTCTGTTTTTCGAATTTTGAGATATAATTGTATCCAAAAATTGAAACTTCACAACAATTTGGCATGAAAATTTGAGATTTTGTTTGTTATTCTTCTTTTGTAATGCAAATTATTAATGAGGGTAATTTGGGATTGAGCTAAAAATTTTGTTAATTTTAGAATTTATTTATTCTCAAATTTTGGTTACATTGTGTTAAGTTGTTTGCTCTTCTGGGAAGCAAGAATGCAGATTCACGATGCTATTTTGGTAGCCCATCTCCTCCTATAGAGCCTTGAGGCCGAAGCAAAAGAAGAATATGGCTGTCGCAGAATACAAGAATGCAATGGTTGCTCATAAGGCGCACTAAAGCACGCCAAGAAGAAAAGGGTAACATGATTTTACTTTGTGTTTGCTAATATCTGAATATGTTCGATGTTTTTGAAGCTTATCAGTTGGAGATCATGAAGTTGCTTGCTTTAATACGTTAATCGAATAATGTCCTTGTTAATTGTTTTGCCTCCTCTCCCTGTAGTTTCGGGTTTAACTCAGCTGCCACAAGATGTTCTTGTTCAAGGGTTCCTTGATATGCAATCCTTGGTCTATGTTGGACTAGTTTGCTAGTAATTCCGATTTCCTTCAATTAAGTTCATGTATTCGGTTTTCATGATTTAAACTGCATTTTAATTAGCAATTATCCCAATGCTAAAACTATTATAATGGTTTGAATGTGATGATTTAGAGCAGCTTCTGTATTATGTTTCTTTGTATGTAAATGACCATATATATTTTGGAGCACCACTGATGTAAGTACTCTCTCTATCTATATACTGTCTTATTATCCCGTCACTCTATTCAGAGATCATTTGCTGTTTATTAGTGTTTCTGTGACTTGAATTGATTGAACTGATGTTCCTAAATTTCTTCTTGCCAAGCCTTTAGAAAGGATTATTAGGTACAGTGAATGATCTTAAATAACACAAAAATTGGCCTAATTATTATTGGAAAGCCGTTTTTTTTCTTAGTAAAATGTTTTCAGGTTTGTTAATGCAGTTCTGACAATACCTAAGGGGACTCTATTTCCTATGTGCGTGAACTTGGCATTATGCCATGGACTGATTGGACCAGCAATGTACTTTGGACTCATTGGTGATGGTCGGCCAATTGGAAGATGTGATGATATGTGGGTTGGCTGGTGCATGAAGGTAATTTCAATTGTTTCTTTAGTTATCTATCAATCATTCACCTTTTTTTTTCCGCACTTTTAGATTTTTTAAGGTGGATTTAGCACTTCAACTGTAATATTGATTGGATTACTGTTCATAAGATTAAACTAACTTGTGGTTTGGATTATTAAGAAAATGATTGACGGTGGAGTTTGTATGTTGTCAGGAATGAATTAAGATAACTTGGTATGAAAGCCAAACGTCCTTTTAATAACTTACGGACTTAAGAGATTTCTAGCTTGTGATCATTACCTCCAAGCTTTCTAGATGTACACTGGGTTGAATTTATTGTCTTCAATGTGCCTATAAACATCACATTATTTTCGATGTCACCTTCATCTCTGAAGAAGTGTTGAAGGTTGGTTGCATATGTTTGGATTTAGATTGATTTGAGACAATGTCCTAGAGTAGGCTTCCTATGGATTCTGATTTCAATTTCGAGCCCTGGATGCTAGCTACCTTATATGTCCTCACTTTTCACCAAGGTTAGTGGGAAATTATTGCCCTTTGGAAATTAGTGTTGTTAATATAATTGAGGATTAGTGTTCTTTCCCTATAGGTCAAATAGTGAAGTGATGATTTAGCACACATTGGATAGCTGTAGTGGGACATTTGAAAAAGAAGCAAACAAGTAGTTTGAAATTAATACACTAGTAGCAAAGCCAAAAAGACGATGTAACAATTAGTCTCGACAGATCTTGATAATGTTGTCCACTGGAAGTGTGGAGTGTATTACCTTCTTCATAAGATGATACCTTTTCAATCCAGATATCTAAAATCACTGAAGAATGAGTGACTATCTCTCAACCCTACTCTCTGGGGTTCCAGAGCGTGTCAATTTTTCCCCAGCACGCACTTAGTTTTCTCCCTCAACTGTTTCCATGTTCAACTCTTTCGACTGAATAAAGAAATTCGGAGCTCTGCACGCCCTAATCAGAGATTAAATCGAAGATTTGGAGTTTAATCAGAGATTTTGGAGCACAATCGGAAGTCTTGTAAGCAGATTCTGGAGCACAATCAGAGTTCTTGTAAGCCACTGCAACCATCTCCGTCTTCTATCTTTTTTAATTCAAAGTGATTCATCTCAATCTGGAAGAGAATTATTACTATAATTTTGGATTTGATGTTTCTAATTGTTGAATCTATTGTTGTTAATATGTTGACCTGGATTACTTTTTCATGTTTTCAATTTTGGTTCGTTAGCTTTTGACGTCCGTTGTCGTCTGAAAAATCCTCTAGTAATTCATTAACTCAGCCTGTGAAAAAAGAGAGGGAGTTTTTCGTCGAGAGAGGTCAAAGTTGGTTTCGGTTGAATTGCTTGCGTTTAATCTTAAGTCTCAATTCATTCGCCTTCATCATTAGATTGTTTCAATAATTTCAAAGGCAATCGCCTGAAGTTTGGTGTGATTTGGTTGGAATAAACGACTGGTCCACCAAAGAATTTTTTTTTTATTTTTTTTTATTTGTAGCTATGGAAGTGGTTTGGCAGTTTTAACACACTTTAAATACAACAAAAAAGGGCCTAAAACTAAAGGTAAACAAAAAAAAGGCCCAACAACAGAAAAACCCATAAACTACAAAGCTTCCGCCAAAACTTCCACAGCCTTCTCCACCCTCTGAAATAGGTCCATCGCTCGATTCCCCTCCTCCGTCCAGTAACGACTCCTCCACAGATGCCACCTCCAACCACAAGTTGCTACAAGAGCACAACCATAAACAAGGGATAATCGACAACCAAGTGAGCAAAGCCAATTATCAGAATGAAGTTTGCGGATTCCCACAAACGACTCCGTAGAAACTGACAGATTACAAGGAGAAAGTGGTGGTGGTTGTACCACCTGAGCTGGAGCATCCGCCGAAACTCTACACACAATCTCTAAAGGAAACATGGCTGACAATCAGATCGAAGATAGGCAAGGAAGAGATATGCCTTCAAAAGTAGAGGAACAAATGAGATTGGAGAGAAAATTGAGAAGAGATAACTGTAGAAGTAGGGAGAGAAGAAGGAAAAGAAAAAAAAAAAAAAAAGACACGACATCCAACCCTAGCTGAAGCTAGGGTCAGTGTCACCCAAAAAACCCAAGATTGAAAGGCTCATAGGCAGTGAGAAATACTCTCAGGGAAGAGAGAAAGAACTCTTACCAAGGAGAGAACCTGGTAATCAGGAAAAATTTTACTTATTTTGTTGGGCTTTCAAAGTTCGTTGGAGGTTGTGTTTGTAAACGTTTAAATATTTGCCATTGCAATTTCGTTATGAATTTTTTTTTTTTTTAACAAACGATATTATCTACATTAAAGGAGAGGAGGTGTGCTTAGCCTCATAATGAGCTAGCAATAATGTAGTTCAAATTCGCCTTTGGCGAAAATAAAACATAAGACCTCTCTCTTACAAGTAAAGAGGAATACCACTAAACCCTTTTTTTTTTTTTTTTTTTTTTTTAACAACTTTCACAAATGCATTTCTAAGTGTGTCGAACTGCTGTCTTTTCTCACCATGTGGGATCAATTACCGCAATTAATAACCACATCAAAGCATTAAGCTACAAAATCTGATTCTATGTTGCTTGATTGTTAAATTCTGTCTCTTATGCAACACTAAGATTTCATGTACTCTGCACATTAAAAACAAATTTCCAGAGGTCTTCTGGGGAGCTAAGTTTTTTTACACACCACTCTTATAGTTCCCTTTAGCCTGACCTTGGCCTTTGTAGGTTTTGGATGTTAAAATCGGGGTTTTTTTTTAGTGAGATTTGTCATGTTTCTACAGTGGGAACGATGAACTTGTAACACTGCTTGCACCCGGGAATGTATTTCTCGGTGGCTGGTTGGTTTTGAGAAACTTTTTAGAGATAATACATCGTTTTCGTTATTTCGGTGTTGCAACATCCAATGAACTGATTGTTAGGATATTTAACAGAGATGAACTGTGACTTTTTATTCTAGTGTATGTAAACTAGTGTGATTTGGGATGTGTCAATTGTTATCCAGTGATGAATTGTGTGCTACAGTTTGGTTTTATAGTGGATTACGTAATATTGATACATATGAGCTCATAACCTGCATCCCCGGTGTTAGTGCTTCTTCGCACCACATCCTCTTTTTTCGATGTCCAAAAATATTTAGAATTTGGAGACATTCCTTCTAGAGGCTTGTTCATAGTGTCGCGATCTTGTTGAGCCTCTTATCTTCTCTAAGCATCTCCCTTTCTTGTCTAAGTAGTTCTCTTTGTCTCATTAGCCGCATCACGTCTCTTAGTAGCCGATAAGATTGCTTGCATATTCGCAGCTTTAGCCTCATCTCTAGCCACGCCCTGTGCCATGTTCAGTTCACATTGACGAGCAAATTCTTTCATATATTTTGTATACTCACTCTTGGAAGAATTCCTTTTTTTCTTTGCAGCCTTTTACCTTGAGGCCTTAGTGAATGACGGGAACCATGTCGCCTTCCTGTTGGTGCGAGTCTACTTCTGGCGGAGTGTGTATAGGGATGCCGTGTATGACAACTTTTGGACCAACTGACACAATTATGTATTTGGGACAATTTTTGACAACATTCTAACATTCCTAGAGGTTGAATGATTTGTTTTTGTTTTTTGCATTGTACCAAGCTTGTGCTTGAAGTGTTTATAAAATGCGGGAGAAGATAATATTATAATCAAACTAATTAATGTGAATTTGGGCATAATACAAATAAATAAATATTATCAACTGATCCACTAAACTTTCGCCACTTCAACAATTAGAAATAGCTTTAGTGTGGATGTTTCTCAAACAAGTAAGCGATTGGTTGAGTGTTTTCCAACGAGCAGAAAGAGACTAATCCGTTCTTCTGGCACCAATCTTCTCACAAAACAAGGTACGAACCGTCTTCCAAACTTCTTGCAAGTGCACCTCATTACTCGTAATTGGGTCATAAGTAGCTTGAATCCAGCATTCACCCAACGTAAATTCGAAACTGCTTCATTAGCCATTTTTTTTTTTTTTTGCAAACAAAAGTATATGAAAACTTTGGCTAAAAGTATTGAAAATATTGAAATGTGGTGTAAGGTGGAAGATAATGGTTAGGTATTTATAGAATTTTTTTTTTTTAATAATTCTTTATTTTTTTTTCTATAATTTTTATTAACTTAATTAACCTGGACCGTCATCCCAAATTTTGACACATGGCCAACGGTAAGATTTTTGACTTTTTCAATAATTTTTTTTTTTAAGGCCGAAAAACCTGGACTGTTAATTTAAAAATCAAATTGTCCAGATTGTGCCACGTCGCTAGCCGTCAGAATTCAAATTCAAATTTTTTGACCGTTAGAAATCCAACGACCAAGGTTGTGCCACGTTGCCTATCACCGATGCTGTTAGTGTGCTTTCCAGCGCGGGCCCCAGCTTTGGAATCCTGTCATGGACATGCGCCCACTTGCGCGTGTATCTCACGCTCCTGTCGCAAAATGAATTAAAGCAATTGGTTGATGTCACGCTAACATCAGCTTGGTGTCACATGGATTGGGTAATGGGTCAATGGGTTTTTGTCAAGGTGAGGAGCTGGGCTCTCTTGGAGCCCAGTGGATTAGGAAGGGGGGAGTGGGTTTTTTTTTTTTTGGGGGGGGGGGGGGTGTGAGGGGGAATAAATGGGCCATCTGAAATTGGCACTAGGTGGAATACCCTACAATAAAAACTTAGAAGCAAATTGTACAAACTAGCCAAATGTACTAGTCAACTGAGTACAAATTGTTACATATAAATCAAACAAATTTAAAAGGTTAAAACTTAACAATGTGAACTTCAGTTAAGTTTTAGTCTTAGTACTTGAGTTAAGTTCACTTGATAAGTAAAGTGTCAATATTAGCAAACCCTACAATGTTTAATTCCAACAAGGTTATAAATAAGGCTTTGTAAAGTAATGAACGCAAGGAAGTTTTTGGCCATAAAAACCTACCTCTGGGTTAAAAATTTGGGGATTCTCCCACTAAGTCCAATCCACTAGTGTGAGCGAAGGTTCATACAAAGACCACACAAGCTCAATTCCTAGATCTCTATCTAAGAAGCAGCTTTACCTTTATGCAATCTTGCCTTACATGAGATGGACTCATTCGGTTTTCACGAAGTGGTAGCTCCTCCTGAGCTCATCACCTTGTGGCACCGAGATTAACACGATCAATTATGTGATATGATTTTATGATATACACAACAGATTTAGATTCAACTGACTAGTCAGGTTCTTCAGTCAAACTGTTGAAGAAGAACCTAACATGAATATGAGAGATTGGTCTATGAAGGATACGAAAAACTTGGGTTTAGACCAAAAACTCAGTGCAAAACCCTTAAAACAATGCAACCCTAATATGCAACGATTGGGTGTTTGTGCATGAGATGGTTTTGTGGCTAGGGTTTTGGTTTGGAAGCTTAAGAGGTATCTCTAGGTTAAATGCACTTTTTTCTTGAAAATGTGAAAATCCTAACCAAGGAACAAATGAAACCTTGAAAACCCTTATAATGGAGGAGATGAATGTTTTAAACAAGGGAAACAAGGAGACACATGTCATGAGCCAAAAAAACCTTCCCAAATCAAGTGTGAGAGATCTACGCACGAAAAAATGTGTCAGATGGCCTATGGGCTGTCTTGTTTTGTGTGTCTAGACAGTTGGAAAACAGACGAAACTTCTGACTAGACAACTACACTAGACAAAAAGAATTCTGGAAAAATAAGCCTGACATGTATATGCAAATGTATGATTTAAACCTTTTGTAGTGAAGATGGTTGGTGCTTTGACAAGTTCAATCCCCAGTAGTAATTCCAAATTAGCATTGCACCCTAATTCTAAACTATGAGCATGTGTGGTACCAGATACAAGATTTGATAAGGGAAGCTAAACAATAAAACTAGTATTTAACAATCTCCCCCTTTGGCTTTCCTTGACATAATAACCTCAAACCTATAACTAATTCACACATCGCCCGTACTCAAGAAACCAAGCCGAGACAAGAGAGGAGCAAGTAACAACTCTTGCAACAACACACATTTCTCGATAAGAGACAAGTGACGTTCATCATGGGTTATGAGATTAAAACAACATAGTAAGCTCAATTGGTACCAATAGGTGTATATTCCAAAACACAATTTACAAGATGCATTTTTACAATTTTTAAATTGGTTGAGATATTTTTCTCCCCCATTTTGTCATGGTAAGACAAAGGAAGAAAGTGATAAATAGATAAGTGTAGAAACTGGCAAGGAATAACAATGAATAGACAATGCAAATTTGGAACACCAAAAGAACTTAAATAGGTACAATTCTCTGTACCAAATAAATTAGATATTTAGCAAATTAAGCTCAGAAGTTCTAAGTAGGCATGAAGGAACAATAACAAAAACAAAAGTAGCAAGGTTAATTACATAAAAAACCCAGACAAAAAAAAGTTTCAACTTCAGCAACATTGTTCAAGATTCAACAGATAAGAAACTCCCCCATAACACTTACATATTAAACCCCTATAGGTGTTCCCCCATAAACCTAGAACTCCTTTGATTGTGATGATTCATTTGAGCCGATAGGAGATCTAGCAACAATGGCATCTTCAGCAGGAACATCTCCAGGGCATGGACTATGACCAAGACCTTCTTCATCTTTATCTTCATTAGAGGAATATGTGAACCTGATGTGCTTGCTTTTCGAGGTAGGAGTGGAAATGCTGATGGACATTGATGGACACTCAATTTCCCTTAGCAGCGTATATAGTAACCATCTTGGTGACAATGACATAAGAATGGCTGGAGGAAGCAGTGCTGTGATATGATACAAATGAAGGATCAGCAGGGCGAAAAAGGATAAGCTTTAGAGGACATAGAGAAGGCTCAGAGACAAATGAAGGAGGATTCATAGAGGTTTAACTTAGAGATGGTGAGGAGAATGAGTTACTAACAAATGATGAAGACATTGATTGATCAAACAGAGACTGAGAAACAATAAATTGTTTTCTAAGAGAGTTGATTTCAGACTCAAGATATACTATTTTCCGATCTTGGGAGGTAGTTGATCGTGGGACCGGTCTAGGATCACCCTGAGCTACAACACACATGACATTACTGAGATTCATCATATTTCTATCAAGGTCCTTAGTGGTTCTAAGACACATATCATCATGACATTTTTGAACACCAGTAAGCTAATGTAACTGAATGATCAGACAAGGGTGAATGGTAGACCCACTCTGGTGGGTTCTAACATGCTTAGACTTGGACAAAATGATGTCGCAAAAATTGAAGATCATCTAAAAAGAATGATAAGTCTACAAGATCTAAGTTGGTATATGGGTCGACGTGGCTTGACGAATGTGTTAGAATCTAGCCTTCATTCCCAAATCTAACCATTTCTGGATAATTTGTTCAGCGTCAAGGCCAGTTAAAGCCAAATCAAGAAACTCTTGACATGCCTTTGGAAGGCTGTATAGGTTATTTGCCAAATTCTTCTTGTGAAATTCCTGCATGTATTCTAGAGCCTTGCCAAAAAATGGTGGATGTTGATTTTGTCTAACTTTAATCAATGGTTCTTGTGGCGATAGTGGATGAAGTTTGCTCTCAGCCTCATTTATGAAATGCTCGATGCGAGCTTTCACTTCTCCAGGCCAAAGAAGAAGTTTGATTCATTTATTAGATTCTTCAATCTCAGTTTCAAAGTCGTGATCAATTGGCTTCTTCCTTTGAAGAAACTCGATCATGATCACATGAGTTTGTCAATCATTTGCTTTTTTGCTATTTCTTTAGGCTACTATTTGTGGTTGAAACTTCCTGAGCCACTTGTCGAAGGGCCATGAAGTTGTTGGCAACATTTCTAGGAATTAGACAGAACTATATCTATGTCGATAGGGGAATTGTAACTATACCAACGGTGGTTGCGTGGCTAAGGTTGTTTGAAGGTTCACTAGGTCGTGGATGAACTTGAACTTCCAGAGTTGTGTACATAGTAATCCTCATCATAAAATGGCCTGTCAAAATCAAGTCGCCATCTAACTGAAGGTGATTTGTAATTTTGTTATTGAGGGCCGAGTCTATGGAAAACCCTTAGCTGGCATTGACCTGAGCCAAACATTGATTGAGATTTCATCGAAACCATGGGTGTGGGTTATGGTGATTTGGCAGAAGGTTTCTATGGTTTTGGCTCGACGATAATAACTTCTAATTGTCTTCTATTGCATAGGATCATTGGGCTTCCAGACTTATCTGAACATGAGTCAAATACTGGCTTGACATAAAATGGATTCGAGAAGAAACTAGGGGGGTTGTTTTGGGATGAGAAATCAATTTTCAGACGCAACTGATCATTCTGTTTTGGGATGTGGTATGTTGGGATGTACTCAACTTTTTTTTTTCTTATCTTTCGGCAGATGGGCATCTACCATGTTTACTGTTGCTGAAGGGAAATGATCAGCATCAACTAACATTTGTGTCTTTTCTGGGAACTTCAGTTTGCCATTGTTAATCCAGCTTTGAATTGCATTACAGAACACGAAGTAGTTATTTGTCGTGTGTTTGTTTAAGTTGTGACACTTGCAATATGTCTTCCTTTTTAAATCTTCGGCTTTAGGAATGTCATGCCCTATTCGAAG